TTATAAATATGGTTAATGACGTGTAAAAAATAATAATGAAGGTAGTCATGAGTGACACTTAGTGCGACAGGGGATTAATAGTATTATTCTCAAGTAAAATAATTAAATAATTATGAATTTCCAATAAAAGTTCATCAATAGATGATATATAAACTTCTATAAATTTTGATGATAAATCTACTTTGTTTGCGAATTTTACAGATAAACCAAATAATACTTTCTTAGCCTCAAAATTATTAGATATATTATTAGTATATTCATCATTAAAATTATCTGAATCACTAATATCACTATGATCAGATAAATCAGAAGTATTATCAAAAGAATTTGTGTAATTGATAAAGATTTAGAAGAATTATTACTATTAGATGATTTTTTTCGCTGAAAACTACTATGATACATTGCACATAAAGCAAAGGAAAATAAAAAATTAAAATTTGAATTATATCCAAATAATGAATTTTGAGACTTTAAAAATTCTTTTTGTTCATTTGTAAGTGTACTTTTGTAAAAGCGGCAAAATGCAATTTTTACTTCTTCAGTTCTGTTTTTTTTAGTAGGTTTAATAGTCTTATCACATTCACAATCTTCGATAATACCACAATACAAACATTTTTGGCACCCATAACAGGTACCAATTTGATAAGACATTTTTTTGAACGATTTTTTTAAAGTTTAATATTAAAAAAAGTATCGTATCGGTATAAATAATTGTTAAGTTAATTTTTACCATTGTTTGACGAATTTGGAAATGCAGGGGTATACCCCTAAAATTGGCAATCGATTTTACGATTTCCACAATTAGGGATACAGAATTTTGAAAACTGCGATAAAATAAAGTGACTATCCTTTTACATCAGTTTGAAATTTCTTGAAAATTAATTGCTTATTATGTTTAATATGTAAAATATGTAAAAACAATGATTGAGCGATTTATCAATAGTAAATTATTGAAGAAAAAAGGTGGTTTGTGTCTCGCTTAATTGTTCATCAAATGATAACGACTTTTTAAAACCTAAATATGTACAAGTCAATAAACATCTTCAGTATTAAATATAAATAAAAAGCCTCATTAATGAGTTAAACATCTAAAATTATAGAGATAATTTTATTATTTTTGTTGATAACTTCATCATCAAAAACAAATTTTCAGTAGTAATTTTTTAGCGAGAGAAATAGGGATTCACTATTATCATAAGGTTTCAGCAATCCGTTTTTTTTTGTTTTTTTTTTTAGCGGGTGCACCAAGGTTTTTTTTTTAGCGGTAGCACTAGAGTTTCGTCATCATTTTGAATTTGGGTTTCGGGTTTCGTCTTTCGTCAGCAGAATTTGAGGTTTCGTCTTTCGTCACCAAGCAAAAAGGGTTTCATCTAACAACTATAGTAACAATATAAAACTATAATGAAAGGTAACAATACTAATGACTATATATATAATACAAAAACAATATAATATTTGCATTGTTAAATTTTTAAGTTTCAGCAAAGTATTTTTTTGGTAATTCCCTATTTTGGCAATTTCAGTAGTTCGAATTCCTGGACACAAACACAAAGTGACTGATCATCACTCATTCAAATTATTTTTAGGCTATTAAAATTCTCATATACGTACATTCGTACGTAGGCCCTATAAAAAAAATTTGTACAGTTATTGTAGGCATTGTCCGAAAAAAAAGTTCGGAACGGAGTCGATTTTCCGACGTTTGTACGGGATGTAAAGAATAGAAAATGTTTGATTGAAAATTATCGTATAAAAAACGTATAAAAACGTATAGAAAAACTTATAAAAAAAACGTATAAAAAAAAGTATAAAAAAAGTATAAAAAAACGTATAAAAAACGTATAAAAACGCATAAAAAACGTATAAAAAACGCATTCATCCAATAAACATCTTTTAAATATTCGAAACAGTGCGAACAAAAAATCGGAATTTTCCGAACAATTCCAAGATATATATATTTTTTATAGGGAGGATAGTAGTATCCAGAACGTGATAAAATGATTAAATCTTTCATGATAACAGTTATTTTTTATCTTTTTGTTTTTATTAATAATGGTGTAAATACATTAGCTCCTTCTCCGAGAGCGGAACAAGCTGCTATTCTCGTTAATAATAAAGTTTATTTTTATGGTGGAATTTATAACAATGTCACACTTTCTGACTTTTTTTACCTCGATGTTTCATCATCATTTATTATAAACGACATGCCTTGGTATAATCTTACTCCGACTACGGGTTTACCACCAAGGACTGACTCGACAGCTTGTACTTATGGTAATAAAATAATTTATATTGGTGGTTATCAAATTGTGGGTGGCAATTTTACCACCGTATATGACACTACAACTCAACAATGGAGTACACCAACTACAAAAAATTTTACATCATATCGAAGTCTTACTCAATGTGTTGTTTCGGATAATTATATATATGTTTATGGTGGTGGTTATGAAGTTGTCAATGATATGATTGAATTAGATATGTTAAATTTAAATTGGACGGAATTACCATATGTACCATCACAACCTATTGGTGTTCAAAGTTATAGTGCTACACTTTTAAACAATACATCTATACTATATATTGGAGGTCAACCAGGTGGTGATCCCCAAACACTTCCTTATTCTTCATTTGACCAGGTTTGATTTATTACATCGTTACTTTATCTAAATTTTAACACACAATATATAAATATATTTCTAATTTTATTAAAATAGCTGTCAATGTACAATATAAATAATAACACTTGGAGTTCGATCGTAAGTTACTAGGTTCAAATTTTGGCTTAATTTTAGTTATATAATCAAAGTATTATTGAAATTGAAGTCTTTACTAAATTTATTTAGATTACATCCGGTAATATTCCTCCATCGCGTTATGATCACCGTGCTGTCTTTATACGTAAGTACTGTAATAATCTCTCTAAATGTAATCTCTTTAATGCGCACTTCTACTATATATGCGAGTACCTAGAGACTTAACCTAATTTCACAGACAAATTTGTCCCAGTTTGCATGAATTAGTTAGAAATGAAATTCTACAGACCCATAATAAAGGGTGATAGGCCATTATCTATTTTGTTGCAAAACCTCATGTGTTACCGTATTTTATAAATTACTGTATTATAACTGATAATAATATTCGCTTTTTATATTAAAATTTAGCTCAATATAATCAAATTTTAATACTTTATGGATATCCATTTAATTCAACTTATTCGAATTTAATTATGGCACTTGATACCGCGAAATTTGAATGGTCAATTCCTACAGTTAAAAACCCTGATGATGGTCCTACTAAAGGTTTAAGGCGTTTTACTTCTATACTGATTGGAGTTTATATTTTTATCGCATTTGGTTCACTCGGTAAGTAAATAAAAATATTATAACATAATAATTTGAATCTAATATCCACTGATAAGTAATTTATAAATTTTTAGGTACTTATGGAATTGATAGTACAAATTATTCTTTTCTTCTTGATGTAAGCCAAAAAAATAATTATGAATGGGTTACTTCATATGACCCTACTAAGCAATTTCAGGTTCCAACTACAACTATAATCCCATCAGCTACAACTAAGTCTTCACCATTCAATAATGTTGGTGCAATGATTGGTATCGTATTTGGTGCAATTGCAGGGATTATAATATTATCAACTGCCGCAATTCTTATTATTAGAAGATATAGGTATCCTTATCCCAATCTTGCTTCATAAGAAGCATCAAGTGATGAGCCAAATAATGAAGTACTGTACGTACAGTACTTTACTAAAGGATTCATCTTTTCAACATTCGGTGAGATATAAAAGTTTAGTAGTTATCATTATGCTTCTAAGTAAGTGTCGACCAATTTTTATGTAATCATAACTAGAAATTGTACTATGAGTGGCTTCGCTGCTCAGTTTTAAATAAGAATTAATGTAATTATATAAATTTATAATTTTAATAAAATACAAAAATCGTTGCAGCGATAAAGAATGGGCCAGATTTTAATGAGCCCAAAACCAAACCCGGAAAATATTTACATGCCCAAGCCCGGCCCACTAAACAAAAAATAAGCCCGTAAAGTATGGGCTGGGCCGGATTTTAAATTTAAACTAGGCCCAGCCCAACCCGGCACATAAAGAACTATCCAATAAGAAGATAAAATAGTTGTGGTGTAAAAATTATGATCATGTAATTCTGACCCAACTAGCAATCAATAAACTTTGTATATGATGATATATATAATTGCATGTTGATTTTACATTCTTGCTGCGCTATTAGCTTCAGAACGATCAGAATCACCTGATCAAGAATTTTGTATACCACACCTATCCCAGCCCTCATAGACAGACATTCGTCTGATTCACTGATGTAAATCAATTGCCCGGGTAACTTCTTTATACAGTTTAAAGTACATTTTGAGAATGTAAAGTTTCACTAATAAAAAATCACTGCAAAAGCCATTTCTAACTTCGAAAGAACGTCTATTTTTGTTGTGCGCAAATAATCAAAAATAATCAATAATCTCAAAAACTTCACTTTTGGGAGAATATGTTTATTGTAGTACTAGTCATATTAACTATACATAAGCTCTAAATGTTAGAAATGGTCAACGAAAAAAAAGAAGTTTGAGACGTTACATGTAGGATCTAAATCTAAAGAACTTTGTTTATACCGTTTAACGCGCTATTATAATAAAAAGCTCTCTTATTTTACGTATTCTGAATATTGTAGAGTTAAAACATTAGTAACTTCGAGCTAAATAATAGGTTGATAATATGTATATGAATACTATTGTTTCATTAATTACGTGGGCAAAAGATCGTGTTATATCTCTAATAAAGTTCATGATAATAAAATAAGATTGAATTACTTTATTTTTCAAAAGATAATAAATAAAGATAGGTTCACTAATTATTTATTCACGTATTATCTCTAATGGTTTGGGTTTTTAATAATAAACATTACATTTATCCTACTTTACGCGTATCTATCTGTTTTTTCTAACTTTATATAATAAGTTCTTTGTTTATAATTATTGGTTTGTAAGCTTTTTTAAGCGAGGTTTTTTTTTTGTTTTCTAGTAGTATTAAAATGATAAACGTTTTCAAAAGAAATTAATAAATATGGTATATCTTACAACTAGCAAACCTATTTCAAAATGAAAACCTGCTTTGGAATTTAACATTTGGATTTATTAAAAAAATTTGAACGTTTTTATTCATTTATTGTATAATAAGTTTGAACAATTATTTTATGCAACTAACAAAAAACTTCTAGTCCTGGTATCCGTTTCTTAATTCATACTCTCTTGGCTTTATGATTAATAATTGTTCTAACTTGGGTATCTGCAATTAGGGTCCGGAATCGGGTGGGTCGGGTCGGGTTTTCATGAGCCCGGTAAAAAATATTTTTAAACCCGACCCGGCCCGAACCCAATTAGAAGATTCAGTATACGGGCCGGGTCTGGCTATGCCGGGTTATGAGTAGGCCCGGCCCGGCCCATAGCCCGTATATACCCAAAACTTAAAAATTGTACCTATGCAATTGGTGTGCCACTGTACGTTGTGAGGGGCTAAATCGATCCGGAATCTCGAAATATGGACCTCACGGATCAACTAATGCTATATTAATCTTTTCACGCGCCTACCATTATTAGGGTTTAGATCGAGTTTAGTGGTAATTTAGCTGTTGCAGTTAGGGTTGTAAGCTTACGGTAAGTTTTGATTTTTTAATGTAAGGTAAGTTATAGTCATGTAACTTACATGTAAATATGTAAGTTAAAAAAATATATGTAATAACAAATATACACAAAATGAAATATATAATTATATTTGACTTTTACTAAAACGCATATATGATGTTTTACACCTGTGTATATATTATCACAAAAACTGGTTAATTAATTGGTATAAGAAACCCTTTCAAAACCCTAACTCTAACTCTAAATACTAAGTAAAATTAAACCCTTACAATAAAATTATGCAAAATATAATTTCGATATTGTATTTTATTTCTTTGTTTTGAAAATTTTTGCTACAATGCGAACAAAGTCACTGGTTTTTGCTTTAAATTCAAAAAATGAAATAATTAATTCCTGAGATATCGATATTGAGAAAACATTTGAATTTGCGAAAATAGATATACTATGAGGAAGTAATTAAATGGATGATTCTCAAAAATTAAACTTCCATGATTAAGATTCGGGTAATACTTAATAATATCTGGGAATACAACTATATATATTGATTTACTAATTTTAATATAATATATCCCAAATACAATATCTGGTTCTTCACACAGTACCCACCTAAATTTAATTCTAGATCAACTTTATTAATTGCTTGTATAGATATTAGTGAAACAAATTATAGTTAGGCGATTATCGTGTTATCTTTGTAAAGTTTAAATTAACTATCAAATTTTGATAATATTCGAAACAGCCAATTCTTCTTTACATTAATAACCAACCATAATTATTCTATCACTCATGACTAAATATAACATTACTTGTTTTACTGCTACCAATATAATGACTACGTTGTAGATCTGCAAAGTGTGTGCATTTACGTTAATTGTTAGTGCCTTCGCATTAGTAAAAATATAGAACAATTTAAGAATAATTTGGGGCGATTTAGGAATTTAGAATAATCCGAAAATAAACTTTACTAACAGTAATACTTGTTGTGATTATATCATTTTTTTAAGTATGGGTATCAATTTAAGGGTTAGCTGGCAGTTCCGTGATTGAGACTATGAACCACCAAATCAGGCTCACATATAGAATTATATTCATGAAAAAGTTAAATATAGAATTATATTTCATGAAAAAGTTAAATATACAATTAATTGTGATTTAATATTAACGATCCAATTACAAGTTCTTAGTTTGCATATAATATTTTCGGTTACGACACGATTCCCCGAAAGCCATTTACCCGCCAACACATTTCCTCGACACCATAATGTCGACATGATATTTCATCTGCAGCACTTTTTTTTGATAAGACACATGTTTGACATTACATTTTTTTGACAATCCTTTTTTTAGACAAGACATTTCCTAGCAGTAATTTCCCAACATATAATCCTAACCGACATTAGGCTAAATCGGTCAATTTTTATGTCGAAGAAATGATTGTCGGGGAAATGCCTTATCTAAGAAAAGTATTGCCGAAAATACGTAATGTCGAATATATGTCTTATCGAAAAAATGTACTGTTAATAAAATATCATGTCGGCATTGCGGTGTCAGAGAAATGTGTTGGCGAGTAAATTTCTTTCGGGGAATTGAGCGACAACCATATTTTCAGTCTGGTTTTGTTGATTAAAGGATTGCACTATTACAGTTTAAATAGATTATGCATGTTGCCCACTTAGATTAGAACGGAATAATTTTACTAAAAATCCCAACCCTGACCTTAAAAATTCCGAGTCAACTTAAAACCTGTTCCCACCTATGACATGTATATGCGTTTAAATAAAATTTTAAAATACAAAAATAACTTCAAGCATGACAAGTATTATATAAATAAAAAAAAAATTTTTTTTATTTTCATGCTTTTTTGACTTATTAAATTTCACTGGACCTCACTAGATCTCCATCCAGTGGTAAAAAAATAAGACCGGAAGGGTCTAGTGATAACTTACCATTCGAACCTAAATATCTTCCAGTTTCATCCAATTAATTCCAGTAATCCTTGCAGTTACAGTGATCTTCACTTGACTGGTCTAGCAACAACACTGGTTATTTGGATGCACTACAGCCCGGTTAGAGCTGAATATTAAAATTTATTAAATCGCTTAAAGGAGATATGCAGCATATATCAGTGCAATCGATATATAATTGAACTAGTGATTTATATCGCCAGCTAGTGGTTTCTCACATGCTGGCTATTGACACGAGGTTTTGTGACTAGAATAGTAATGCATAGCATTGGCCGGTGGTTTCTTATATGCATAACACAGGCTAGCAAAAATAGCAGAATTCTTTGAGAGTATAGGGTGGCATGAATATGACTTACTTAATGGAGGTTCTGCAGTTAAGCACCTATAAATTCGGCTTTATATTAGCATATATTCTAATATTAGTATCTTGTCCTAATTCGGCAATTTATTAAATTCATACTCATCTAGTGAAATTAAGATGCTAATTCAAAAAGGCAAAGTATCGAAATGATTAACACAAATCTAAATAAAGTGCCAGGCAATATCACCATAATAGAATAAGTTTGTGGCCGCGCATAAGTTAAAACTAAAGTAACAAAAAATAAAGCCAAAAAGAGTAAGCAATTATAATTGTTAGATTAAAATTTTCATAGAAATCTGAAAAGGTAAAGCGCCAAATAATTACGAGTCCAAATAAGATGTTATTAAAGTAATATTACTATAATGGGATAACTGATAAGTTTGTCGCTATATGTATTGTGATTTTAGTAATTACAACAATTGAAAAAAATTAAAAGAAAGCAAATACTAAAGTAACAAATGATAAAGCTAAAAAAAGTAAAATGATTATAATTGTTAAGTGAAGAATGCTGAGGTAAAAAGACAAAACGAACTTCCCTTTTGCAATTTTATTATAAATAAGAGTAAATTTTACCTCTGGGAATACCATGCCATGTGCATAAAAAATAAATAAATAATCATTTGTTTATGAATATCGCTTTATTTTCTTATATAGCTTTACCACGCAATCACCAACCTTGTTTAGCTTTGCAAAATCGTTTTTTACACATTTAGTAACTAGTTTTTTTTTGAAATATTATATACATTTATAATGCCACAAGAAAAAGGTGATTACTGGGATAATTATGAAGAAGTTATTGTGGATGGAAAAGTTCGGTTTAAATGTATGCTTGGTTGTGGAGATAGTTGGGCGAAAAATGAAACAAGACTTAAAGAACATTCAGAAAATTGTAGTAAACAACAAAGAGCTTCAAATAATAATCAAACTACTCTTGACAACTATGTCAAAGTTGTACCAAGACAAAGTCAAAAAGTTTATGAAATACTTTTAACCCGTGCATTTATTTCTTCGGGTATTCCTTTTAATGTAATTGAAAATCCTGATTTTCTTGCTTTTTTACAAAAAACTAATCCAAGTTATACAGTTCCTTCTCGTTATAGAATTTTCAATAGTTTGCTTAATCAAGAATATAGTCATATTAATCATATTATTAATAATTTATTTTCTAAACCTAAATATTACTGTCTGACAAGCGATGGGTGGTCAAATATTAACAAAATGCATATTATTAATTATATGATTACTATTCCACAACCAATATTTTATCGATCTTTTGCTATTAAAGAAATCCAAAATACTGCTGAAAATATCGCATCTGGCATTGAAAATATTATGAAAGAAATAGGTAGTGAAAAATTCGTAGCTGTAATTACAGACAATGCAAATAATATGCGAAGTGCTTAGAATATTTTAAAACAAAAATATCCTCAAAAAATTTTTCTTGGTTGTTGGGCACATTCGATTAATCTCTGGGTCAAAGATATTATTAAGCTTGATTGGGCTAACCAAATTTTGAATAATGCTACAAATATTGTAAAGTATTATCATAAACATGAAAGAGTTTTAGCAACCTTACGCCATTTGCAACAAGAAAAGTATGGTCATGAAATTGGGCATAGGTAAAATTTAAAAATGCAGTCTGATTTAAAATTAATATTACACAACTAATATAGCAAATTTTTAAAGTTTAATAGTTGTTACTAGATGGAATTTCACTTTTATTGTCTCGATAGTTTATTAAAAACTAAAATTGCATTACGTTCCACTTTAACTGAAGAAAGTATCGTAATAACTAAAAAGATTCAAACTGTTATTTGGCAGGAATCTTTTTGGTTAAATTTAAAACACTTACGTGATTTTTTAAAACTGTTTGCTAACTTTATTCATATGATTGAAGGTAATTATTTACTTTTGTCTACAGCATATGTAGAATTTATTAAGCTACAAAATATTGTAAAAAATAATCAACAAATACCAAAAGAAATCTCTAGTCAAGCAGTTAAATTCGGAAATAACCGATGTGACAAGTTTTTTTATAATCCTGCAATAATGGTTGCTTATAAATTAGATCCACATTATCAAGCTGAACTTTTAGATCCTTTAGAATGGGATGAATTAATTGAAAAAGAAATTATTAGACTAGCTGGTAATAAATCTTCAGAATTAGTCTTGAAAGAATTAGCAAATTATATTGGCAAAATTGGTCCTTTTTCTAGCACACATTTGTGGGACAAATTAAAAGAAGATCCAATTGAATTGTGGAATTTAGTAAGCAACCATGCTCCAAATTTAAGTGAAGTTGCACTTAAAGTTTTTTCAATACCCGCATCATCTGCTTTAAGTGAAAGAAACTAGTCTACATTTGAATTTATCCATTCAAAAAACCATAATAGATTAAATATTAAACGGGTTGAAAAATTAGTTTATCTTTATTGGAACTTAAGAATTTTATGACAATTAAATCAACCAATTGATTATAATTATAATTATTTAGATATTAATATTAAAGAGACTACTAATACTACGGAGATCATCAATGTCGAGGAAGAGGAAACAATCGATGAAACTTATGATGATATAAATTTGTTTTATGATTCAGAGTTGGATGAAGCAAATAAATTGTGGGAAGATTTAGAAAATAGTAATGAAGATACAGAGTTAGATGAAGCAAATAATAGTTTAAATAAATTGTGGGAAGATTCAGAAAATAGTAATAAAGATATGGATTATTTAGTTAGTGATATTTAAAAAGGTATATTTTACGAAGAAATATTATTAAATTTATATTTTATTTTATTATTTTTTATTTTTTTTTGTTTGTATTTAAATATATATAGTTGATAAAATCTAGAATTATATATAACAACATATTTTAGTCTTTTTTAAATGTTATTAAATAACTACTTTAGCTTTTTAACAATAAATCGAACATTATTTAATTGTTAAACTGTTATTTTAACTAGCAATGTGTTGTACAGGCGACTTCATCGCCCGGTTGTGGCTTTGAGTGAATAGAAGATTTAGTATATAGCATATTTAGTACAAATGTACATTAAGAGAGTTTTTATAATTCCAATTCCATCCATATAGCAAAGTCCGACGTTATATATTTCTTGAGCATTTTCTAATTCAGCAGATTTTTGATAATTAACGAATGCCTGATGTTTATTCTTTTCAACCCCTATTCTACTTCGATAATAATCTGCGAGATTATATATTACAGATCATTTTTCATCTCAGGAGATTTTTGATAATAAACGAATGACTTTTGTTCATTTTTTTCAACTTCTATTCCACGTTCATAGCAATATCCAATTTGATTTATTGCAGTAGCATTTCACATCTCGGCAGATTTTTGATAATAAATGAATGCTTTACGTTTATCAATTTCAACCCCTATTCCATTTTATAACAACTTGCGAAATTATATATCGCAGAAGCTTTTCCTATCTTGGCAGATTTTTAATAATTAATGAATTCCTTTTGTTCATCTTTTTCAACCTCTATTCCATATAAATAACAATATCCAAGATTATTTATTACAGTGGCATTTCCCTTTTTGGCAGATTTTTGATAATGAATAAATGCTCTATGTTCATCCTTTTCAATTCTTCTTTATAAAAATAGCAGTTTGCAAGCTCATATATTTTGTTAGGATTTTTCATCTTAGCAGATTTTTGGTAATTAGCAAATGCCTTTTGTTCATCTTTTTCAACTCCTATTCCATGTTGATAGCAATATTCAAGCCTATTTATTGCACTAGAATTTTCCATTTTAGCAAATTTACGAATGCCTTTTGTTCATCTTTTTCAATCTCAATTCCATCTTGATAGCAATGCCCAACTTGATTTATTGCACTAGAATTTCCCATCTCAGTGGATTTTTGATAATTAACGAATGCTTTATGTTTATCTTTATCAACACCTTTTCCATAAAAATAACAGCATGCAAGCTCATATATTCAGCTAGTATTTCCCATTTTGGTAGATTTTTGATAATTAACAAATGCCTTTTGTTCATCTTTTTTAACACCTCTTCCATAAAAATAACAGCATGCAAGTTTATATATTCCGCTAGCACTTTCTATTTTGGCAGATTTTTGATAATTAACGAATGCCTTTTGTTCATCTTTTTCAACTTCTATTCCGATTCGATAACAATCTACAAGATTATTTATTGTGTTAGCATTTCCCTTCTCAGCAGATTTTTGAAAATTTACGAATGTCTTTTGTTCATCTTTTTCAATCCCAATTCCATCTCGATAGCAATGCTTAACTTGATTTATTGATTAGTATTTCCTATCTCAGCAGATTTTTGATAATTAACGAATGACTTATGTTCATCTTTTTCAACACCTCTTTCATAAAATAACAATATTCAAGCTCATATATTCCGCTAGCATTTTCCATTTTGGCAGATTTTTGATAATTAACGAATGCCTTTTGTTCATCTTTTTCAATACTTCTTTCATAAAAATAACAGCATGCAAGTTCATATATTCTGCTAGCATTTCCTATTTCAGCAGATTTTTGATAAT